TTTTTTCAAATAAACATATTAATGATGAACTCAAATATGTGAAACAGAAGCATGAAGATACGTGTGGAATTGTTCTGTTGAAGAAGGGGTGGAGAACCTAAACCTACAATATATTCAGCCTCCCTGGTACTCAAGAACTGACCTCTAAGGCACTTCTGGAGAATCCCAGCACTCTCCAGAATTCATCTGAAAGATAAATAGAATACATTGGAACTGACTACTTATTTATCTATATTGTCCACTAGACTACAGGCTCCAAAAGAAGGCAGAAACCATGTATGTTTCATTCATATTTTGCGAGATAACCAAGGGTCTAGCGCAGGATGTGGCTAATATTAGGGATATAAGAAACAGTCATTGAATAAGCAAATAATAATTACAGCAAGGGTCAGCAGCAGAGTTCAGGATAAAGAATTATTTATGTGTTACATTTTACCTTTAGAAGATAGTCCAGATCAAGTAAAGATTGACCTGAAAAGAGAAAGCCTTGAAAAGAGGCCAGGTAGCTCAGATACTAACTCACTTCCACCCTAAAATCATCTTGACCTTTGTGAAAAATTAATGTATTAGCTAAATGGCATGGAATAGATGAGTTAGGAACATCCTACATCTGCTTTGCCAAAAAGATTTTCCTATTTTAATACAAGGAGAGATTTTATTATAGTGTTCAGGAACTGCCTTTTTACACTAATCAGATGATTTCAGCAAATAAAGTTCAAGAGTAAGTTCCAAAGAAAGTAATTTGCATTATGACTCAGCTCTCAAGGACAGAGACAGAAATGTGCATATCTTTCTTGACTCTTAGAATGACAGGTCTGGGAGACCACAGATGTTCAGAGTCCTGTGTGATAGTATGCTTATGCTTACCCCTCGTCATTAGACATCAGTGACTCTGTGGGCTCTGCTCCACTGTTTGACCCTAATGTTCTTAAACAATACAGTTTTGCTTTCATTCACTGAAAGAGAAAATTCCCATAGACAAAAATGACTGTCAATCAATGATCTTACAATGGTATTTACTGTAACTCACAACCTAGCAGCATGCTGCACTACATGGTATACAAACCTGGCTGAGCTCTCCTACTTAAAAAAATCTCTGTTAACTAATATTACCCATGGTGGCAAATCAAAGCTATGTCGCTTTTAAAATATGTAATCACTTATGCTTTATAAGATTATGAGGCTTTAATACCCTTAGAGTTGAATGGAAAATATAAACACAGAAGAACATAAAATTGAGACACTGATCTGATTCTTAGCTTTCAGACACCTTAAAAATAATTTGTATTGTCCTCTGTTATTGTGCCTTCCCTGTAAGGTCTGATTTTTACACTGAAGTCAATGTGCTGTCATCAAAGATGACAATACAAAGCCATGTTATTTAAGAAACAAGCTTGATTACTTTAAAATCTAAGGCAGCACAATTACTAAAACTGCAGGCCTATCACTAGTTAATGATAAAATAATAGACGATTCAAGTATTACTATATCAACCAAACAGAACTAAATTCAGAATTGCTTACCACCAACACCTGTACTTCCTGAAAGCAACTAAGGTCAAGAAAATGAAGAATGCATCTGTATTCTTAACTCTCAAAGCTGGAAATTCTGTCTAGTTAGATCTTAAAATATAAGTAAGTAACACTCTCAGTCAATTGCTATGTTTACACTTCTTGATCCACACTCTGAGCAACAACTAGTTGTGACCAGTTACTATAACAAAAGTACCAATTGTATAGGCAGTAAAGTAAGAGTATCTAGATGCTATTGCTAAATTAAGATTTTCTCCATGTCCAGAGGCAGACACGGTAATCAAAAGTATATCAATTTGAGCAGGAATAATAAATAATAAGTACGATGTAAGGAAAAGTAAGTACTCAATTAAGTACTATAAATTATTATATTTAAATCTTTCTTAGCTATAAAACCTAGCTTCTTCCTGGAGAGAGGGATCAAATTCAATCATTCTCCACTGGGCCACCTTTAGCTGTTCTGCAGGTGGTGGAAAGGCTCTGAAGATATCCCTTTAGAACAAGAATACATTGTATGGAGTTCTGGAAGGCTGGGATTTAGCAGCAAACCAGTCTCCTAAAATGGGTAGAAGAGGATTATCACTTAGCAACCCCAACACTATGCATTTCCATATCATTTCTTAGCTACTCCAGTTATCTGGAGCTGTTTGGCACAGTAGATCAAAAACAAGTTTTCTGTAGCCAGCTGGATGGGATCCTACACACCTAATGCCCTGGACAGGATGCATGTCCTCTTTGTTCCTTTCTTGAGCCCAACATTAGGCAGCAACTAACAAAGCTGGCAGAAGCAACTGGATGGCATTCAAGTGTGAAGATGGTTCCATCATCAGATAATAGTTTCTTAAACCTATATTCAAGGGTCACATCTAATTTGTTATTGTGATTTCCTACCATAATGTGAGAGCCAGATCTTCTTTATTTTTTGAAAGCCAGATCTTCTAAAGGGCCTGAATTAATGTTTAGATGCTTTTATTTTTTATCTTTCCACTGATAATATTCCACATCCATGTCCTCCCCTAGCTTATAGCCTGTCCTAATAGGATAGTCAAACGAGCAAGAATATTGTCTTCTTCAATAAGCCATTAGGAAAATAAGGGAGAGCAAGATGAAAATGTTTGAATTCAGAAAAAGGGTTTAATTTGATAAGTTATAACTGTCAGATAAACTACTGCTATTAAGATTTTCCAGATTATGTCTAGACTCTTTCAACAACCCTTTATTCCTTCTCTCTCATCAAAACTCTACGGCAATGTCTCTCAACTTTTTTTTCATTATCGCCAATGTACCCCTCCAACTATTGAGCCCTTTTAGACAATGTTTTTCTAATCACCCACCTACCTATGAAATGATAATACCACAAATTTCACCCCCTTGGGGACAATAGTACCCTTCTTTGAGAATGTATGCTTATTTACAAAAAAGCTGCCATTTGAAAATTTCACAAGCTAACAACCCATTATGAGTGTTAACTTTTCTTACTCTACAGAAAACACATTTTCTAATGTCTAACTACCTTCTTTTCCTTCCTAGTCTTGCTTGTAAAATGAGATTGACATTGAGGAAAGTACTGAGCAATCGGAACTAATCAAAGTGTGTGTGTGTTTGTGTGTGGTACGTGGACTGTTAGAGTAATTGTTAAACAACTTTGGCTAAAATATGAAATCCAGAGTAATTTTCAAAATTTTGACAAAATAATTTGCCATATAGGAAAGACAAATGTAGAGTTTTGACAGTAAAAACTAAAATGAGATTATTACCTTAAAAAAAAAAAAAGCCAAATTTCTGAGCTACATGACTTGGTTGTAGTCAGAATTCTGGGTTAATGGGCAATGGTTACATACTTTTCATTTTCTGTCCGTGACTTCTTGTAACTGATACTCGGGAGGCTAAGGATTACAAAATTATGGCTATGAAGTCATGCAAATTATAAATGGAATTTTACTTTATGCAGCTAAAAGGGCAAATAAAGTACAAACATTCATAAATGTAAAAAATCAACTAGGAGAAGATCTGTCCCTACTAGAAACATTATGAGTGAAACAAAACCACAAAAGTTTGGGTTTGAGCCTACACCTTTTTTTTTAAGTTTAGTAAAAAGAAAAAAAATTTAAAGGGTTATCAAAAATGCACTTCTGGAATATTTTACATAAAAACACTGTTATAAAGTAAGGTACACTGTGGCTTTCCCCACCACACACCTATACCACTTCAGGTGACTTGAACACACTGAAATCCACCGTCAACATGTCATCCAAAAATATAATAAAGTTTTTTTTTTTCCTTCGAAGTCCAAAAGTCTTTCAGTGAGGTCCAAATTAAGGACACATCTTTTAAGGAACTGATAAGGGATTAAGATGGCTAATATGAATTTACCAAGTAAGACAGTCAAATGTTGCCAGCTCAAATAGTGAAGCCATTAAGAACAGCCTGGTGGTCTCTTTGAAGGATGTGTTAGAGCTTTAAACAAGCAGGACAGAAAGATATTGATATAAGAATAATAAAAAAAAAAAAAACCCTACGGGTTGGTTCAGGTACATGACAGAAACAGCTGCAAATTGCTGGGAACATCGGCTGCAGTTGGGAATTGAATAAATCAACTTCAGATCTCGGTGGAAGCCTCAGAAAGTAAATAAACTCAACTTACAGTCTCTGGGACCCAAGTGACCCAGGTGTCTTCCAGAGTAAAGGAAAACAAACAAGCCTGTTTGGGACCTTACTTAACAATAGTTATTTCAGGAGCACTGTTCCTTGCAAACACTTGGAAAGTCTTTTGTGCAAGGAAAGTAACAGCAGAAATCTAGTCCCCCTGTGGTATAGAAGAAATCCCAGAAACCCTAGTCTCCTAGGCTCTGAGTTTCTGGGCCACCCTGTAATTCAATGGGAAAGTCACTTAAGGGATGTAAAGGGCAATATGCTGCACACCGTCATCTCCTGAAAATAAATAATATATAAATAAATTGTGTGGTTCCAGATACAACTGCGGGACTAAAACGCATCATTCCTCCTCTCCCCAGTAAAAAAATAAAAATAAAAGTAAATCTTCCAGAGAAAGCCGCTCTTGAGTCCCTCCACCTATCTCAAATGCCAGGTCTTTCCGCGTTTTCAATCTAAAAGGTTTTGAGCCTTGACCGAGGGGCGGCGCAGCCTGCAACTTTCTCCAACTCCGGGGTAAGGCACTGCATCCTGGTATCAGAGACTACTGGACACCAAAATGACTTCTCCAGGGTGCAGCGAGATGAGCCACCTGACCCATCCTCTCCCCTCCGGCACGTGTCCCATACCCTCTCAGTCCCATTCCGGCAGAAGGAGCTCTCCCAGGACTGGAGTCAGGCCTGAGACCTCCTCCCCGAACAATGCATTCAGCCTGGGATTTAGACGAAAGCTTAAAAAACAAGGAAACAACAACAGAAACAATAGCGACAATAAGAGTTGATTTTTTATATTAAAAAAATGAAATGAGTCCCTTACCATCTCGCCTGAGGTTGGCGTTGCGCAAAGCTTTGATGGATGCGCTCTGCGGAGTTGCAGAAGTGTCCCGATAGCAGCAAAAGTTTGCGCAGACTACAGTGTAGACGAAGATGAGCCGGTGCATTTGGGATCAGCGACCTAGGGACAGAGGCGCTCCAAGAAAAAGCCGGGTTCCGCTCCCGGGACGGACGCCGCGCCGCCCTGCGCTCTTGCCCCTGCGCTCGCCCCGCGCGCTGGCCCGGGCCGCCGTGCTACTCTCCGAGCTCTCCCCAAACTTCCTGCATGCTGAACTTTCTCAGCGCGTGTGGGTGCTGCACTTCCTTGTGGTGCCGAGGGTTGATAAATGGTGACGACGGGACAAACAACAGGTTGACGTTTGTAAGCCCCCTCCGGTGGCCGGCTGCTGCAGCGCAGGCTGCAGGGGGCGGGCGGCGCTGCGTCCGGCCGGGCAAGGGCAGGCGAGCGAGCAGCCGAGTCCTCCGGCCTCTCCGCCTTGGATGCCCCCGAGCTGCGCGCGGTCGGGCTCGGAGCAGCGGCGCGAGCAATCCAGCTGCCCAGGCCCGGCCCAAACCTGCTCCGCCACTGAGCATGCCCAGTTTGACAGTGGGACAGGACTCTTCCATAGCCCTAGGCTTTGTCATAGTTGTTGGACCAGAAAGGGGGCAGGGAACAAGGTGGCCAGGACGAAGTGGGAGAGGGTGGAATCCTAGTACTTCTCCAGAGGTGACTGGCGCATCCACCCAGAAGTCATAGCTCTTGCCCTGATGATGGTGGGGTGTTGGGTCCAAAAATTTTAAATGGACTTGGGCGCGTTTATTTTACAATCACCGAAATCAGATTCTACTTCAAGATCTCATTATCTGTATAGTGAAAAAACGCAATCGCAAAGGAGCTCCATTCTGAGGTTTCCTTTGGGTTTCCGTCAGTGTGACCCTAGTTGAGTCAAGGTTAATGGGGGGGGGGGGGGGGCGGAGAGGGGGACAATGTGTCCTTCCTGTCTCGCAGGACTGTAGCTGTGATGGGCCCATGTGATGAAGTGTACAATAAGTGCAACAATAAAACTTCAAGGGGGGGTTTGTATATCCTACCCTCATCCCCTGCAAGGTAGAAGGGTCTAGAGGACAGAGTGGGGCTAAGCAGGACAGGCAGGGCAAGGTGAAAAAGTTGTATGAGAACGTTCTGTTGCTTTGTCCTCACAGTCCATAGGAAGAGGCAGGGGCCGTTCAGGCCTTTGGGATCCACCCTTCTTTCAGTGTCTGGAAGCTCAGCAGTCCAGAGGGGCTGCCTCTGCTTTGCAGGAAATTAAACATCATACATCTATCTCCCCCAACTATATTTGGAAGAGGAGTGGGTCAAGAATCTGCTCACTAGCTTTGTCACCTTGAGCAAATCATTTGATCTCTGGAGCCTCAGTTTCCTTACTTAAAAAATGAGAGTAGCAAATTTAAGTTTGTATGGTTATAGGGAGAAATATATAACAAAAATTTAGTATATTGCTTTGTGTGCTGCTGAATCCAAATTCAAATGTACACAATTTCTCAACCTCTTACCGATGAGATGATAAAAAAAAAAAAAAAAGAAAATTTTCAGTCTCTTTTAGACCTTCCAGCTCCTGAAAGTCTGGGGTATGGGAAGCAAGTGATATTCATGTACAGTAGTCTCCCCATATCCTCTATTTTGCTTTCCACAATTTCAGTTACCTGCGTTTAACTGCTGTCCAAAAATATTAAATGGAAAATTCCAGAAATAGAAAACTTATAAGTTTTAAATTGTGTGCTCTTCTGAGTAGTGTGACAAAAATCTCTCACCATGCTGCTCCATCCCACCCAGTACTGAATCATCCCTTTGTCCAGCATATCTACCCTGTATATGGGATCCTGCCCGTTAGTGACTTAGCCCCATCTTGGTTATCAGTTAGACTGTGGTGGTACCAGAGTGGTGTTCAAGTGACCTTTATTTTGCTTAATTGTTTTGTTTAATTATTACTTATTGTTGTTCATAGCTGTTCCTAATTTATAAATTAAGCTTTATCATAAGTATGCATGTATAAGAAAAAACAGTATGTATCAGGTTTGGTAGTATCCACAGTTTCAGTTATCTACTGGGTGTCTTGGAAAATATCCCCTGAGGATAAGGGGACTGCTGTAAAGAGACATAGAAGTGGCTGAAAGGTAGGAAGTTCAGGTAAAGATAGCCTTGACAAGTTATTATACCATCCAGCAATAACTAAGACACATGTTTTCCTTTGACATACTCAAAAATCAATGTGTTTCATCTATATTGGCATTTCAGCCTCATACAGTGTTTTACAGACTGCAGGTTTTAGGTCATGAATTCAATTTCCATACCAGTATTATATTTTAAATAAATAGAATGGAATACAATAGCTTAGAAATTTAATTATGAGAGTTCATTGAAGATAGTATTGTTTCACAAATATTTTGTTTCAGACACACACACACACACACACACACACACACACACACACACACACACACACACACATGGCAATGCAAAAAGTATTTCTGTGGGGCATGATGAAAAAAGTTTGAAAGCCACTGGAAAAAAAGGTCTAACCACATTGTCTCAAACTATAATCAACCCCTGGAAGAGGCCCTAAGAAGAGGCATAAAACCCAAATTTGCTTTCAATCATTTTTTCATTCAAAAAGTATTAATTAAGCATTAGCTTTTCCCTTTGTGCCCTGCCCTAGTCTAAAAACAGTGAACAAGAGAGACAAGGTCTCTAATCCCTTGAAGCTTACAGTCTAATGGAGGAAAAAGACCATAAACAAGTAAATATACATCTATATTAATAAGAGGAGAGACAGAGATAAATGGGATAGGAGTAGGAGATAATTGAAATATATGATAACATTTTTTAGAAAGGTTAGAATTGCTCACCAAATTTCATACTCAATTCCTGGTATGAGAATATAGGAAAAATGATAAAATGTGCAAATGGTTTATGTTATTATGGCGAGTATCAAAATACTAAAGAGGATTACCTGTCTCAATATCTTATAATAAATATTGAATTTAAAGTATTAAAAGTAGTGTTGTCCAAGATACTAACATTGTGCACTCATATGGTATTGTGAATTCATAAAGTCGAATATTTTAACTGAAAATAGTAAAGGATATCACAAATAATCAACATGTTTTTGACCTTTAATGTCAGCAAATATCCAAAATCAACAGTAAAGCAAAAAATCAGGCACCTGAGCCTAACCAATTATTCTGAACTTAGTTTTCAATATAACATAATAACTAATTCTTAAAAATTAGATGGATTATGTAAACAAAAATATTTTTGTACATAGAAGAGGTGTTTAATAAAAATATATCAAGAGGAAAAGGTGTGGTACAAAGATAAAGTATGATTGTTTTAATTTATTTTTCATATGAATTTCAAACTAACTTACCAAAACATTGCATTTGCCATTATATTTTAAATGCTTATAGGTCAGTTAGAAGAACATGAGCCAACACAATGAAATCAGATTTATAAATATTTATTACTATTCAGACTAATATAAATCAAATATTCTATATTTAGCCATTGTTCCACAACATTCATATAACTAAAAAAGGTGCACCTATTTTTTAGAATAATTTAAAAAATATAAGAGCAACTTATAATAGGTTCATGTATAATGGTATTTATCCCAAACAAATATTCTGGTGGTAAGGATTTGACAAAAGGGTAGGTTAGGACATGACGCTGTTTTCTTCATGTATTCTTTGTGTTACATTTGTAGGACACAAGAATGGTGGTTTTTATTACTTTTTTCAAATATTCTTTCCTTCTTTCACTTCTCATAAAAAGCCACCAGGGAAAAGGAATGAAATGTGGCGTGACCTTCTTGAAGCCTTCTCATCTCTGCAAGTATTTCACCCCTGTGCTAATTTTTTTAACTAAACTTCTACCAATTTTTTTTTTTTTTTTTTTTTTTCTTTTTTCTGACTGGTAAGGGGATCACAACCCTTGATGTGGTGTCGCCCGCACCGCGCTCAGCCAGTGAGCGCACCGGCCATTCCTATATAGGATCCGAACCTGCGGCAGGAGCGTCGCTGCTCTCCCAGCGCCGCACTCTCCCGAGTGCGCCACATGGCGGCCCCCCAATTTTTAACTTGTAATTCATGCAGAATCTTTCTCTTGACAAGAGTAGTCATTTTATGAAGTTTACTCCGTTCAAAGAGGACATTCCTGTCTTATTCATCCTACACTAACTAGATCTCAGAAAAAGCAAAGCACTGTGACACGACAATTCAATGTCTTCTCTGCCAATAGACTATTGAGCTTGGTCAATGTTGAACCTTCACGCAACTTTGATCCCTCCTTGTAAGGTGGAGGTGTTATATTAGATCACCTTCAAGATTACTTTCAGAATTCTAAGTATTTTATTTTTTAAGTCTTACCTTTGCTCAATTTCTCACCAAATGCTAAATATGTAACTTTATCAAACTCAAATACATTTTAAATAGTTGTTATAAAGTCTAGTTACATACAAAAATAAAAGGTTTTTAGAAAATTTAATAAGCTGATATTTTGAAATTTTAATAAGAAGTACATACTAAAACGATAGCTCAAATGTTAGTTTGCCATTTAATGTTAACAGTTATTTTACTTTCAAAATTATGTTTTCTTTTAAAGAAATCAATTGCTCAAATGTATAAAAATCTAGATAAGGAGAATATGTTCTAGTGGTTGAAATAACTGAACAGGTGAAATGCAATTGATTACAATTACGATGTAAATTTAGAAGAAAGACAAAATTAATTTTAATGCTATAAGACAATTAGTGAAATGATTTTGACCAATGATTTGGCTCAGAAGAACAAGGTTAAATTTAGTTTATTTTTAAAATTAAAGAAAAGATAATGTATGAATATCCTGGGTGCCAAAGAATGAAATTAAATATTTATAAGATGACAAACTGTGTTAAATTCTTTTAATAGTTCCAGATGACTAGAATGACCTTCAATACCAGCATGACTACAAAATATTTTATATCAAGAATGGGCAAAATACATTACCCAAAGGAATGGAAAGCATCACGTCAAAGAGATACCCACACCCCCCATGCTTATCGCAACTCTATTTACAACAGTCAAGAGTTGGAACCAACTTAAATGTCCTTCGTCAGATGACTGAATAAGGAAAATGTGCTATATATACACAATGGAATATTACTCAGCCATAAAAAAGAATGAAATGTATTGCCATTCACAGCAACACAGATGAACTTAGAGAAAAACGTGTCAAGCCAAAGAAGCCAGGAGCGGAAAGAGAAATACCGTACG